GAACCGTTGTATTAGATTAACTTAGCTCTCTAGGAACCGTTGTATTAGATTAACTTAGCTCTCTAGGAACCGTTGTATTAGATTAACTTAGCTCTCTAGGAACCGTTGTATTAGATTAACTTAGCTCTCTAGGAACCGTTGTATTAGATTAACTTAGCTCTCTAGGAACCGTTGTATTAGATTAACTTAGCTCCCTAGGAACCGTCTTAAAATATGTTTATCATTTTCTTCTTTAAAATCTGCACTTGAAACCATTAGTGGTACCGCAATTAAATGCAGGTTTATCATTGATCTTGAGAGGGCTTCATTAATTCTCTCTGTTTCAGAATAATGATCCAATGATCTGCCCTCGTTCTGTCATGTCACCTGCACTATGTTTGTATTTAAACTTCTCACATTATTTCTTTTTAGAACACGAAAAGAAAGTGATCGTATGCGAACATCTCAACATCCCGATCATAAATCTGTCAGTGATAAGAAACTCAACATTGATAGAAGCAGGCGACCCAGACCTTTGAGACCATCTGTGAAGAGTTTGAAGAGATCTGAAGGCGCCGATGCTTTGAAAGAGAAGAAAACATTGTCTGATGAGCGACAGTCCCACCTGAAAAGACAAAGTCATGAAATTGTTAATAAGACTGCTGACAGAGGTCCAAGTGCAAATATCAGAACTGCAAGGGAGACAAGTCGTGAGAAAAGAAGTCATGACAAAAAGAGAGTTTCAGGACCATACTCTGAACATGTCAGACGCCAAAGTGCAGGCTCAGACAGTATGAGATCTAGACAGAATTCAGATCTACAAAATATAGGGAAGCAGTCCGAATCTGAGAACACTGGTCAACTGATGGATACTCTGCTACGCAGCTTGTCTGTTGTTGAGTTATCAGCCAAGGGGGAAAGTTTTACCCGGCTTGTTACAGAGAAGCTCACTAACTTAATTGAGGAGCAAAGCTCAAGGGCATCAGGTTTGAAGGAGGGAAGATGGAGGCGATCAAGAAGTCCTGTGAGGAGGCACACTGCTAGGAGGAGGTCAGTAGGATCATTTAAGTTCTCTGTCAGTATGATCATTTAACTTCTCTGTCAGTATGATCATTTAAGCTCTCTGTCAGTATGTTCATTGAAGTTCTCTGTCAGTATCATTTAAGCTCTCTGTCAGTTTGATCATTTAAGCTCTCTGTCAGTATAATCATTTAAGTTCTCTGTCAGTATGATCATTTAAGCTCTCTGTCAGTATTTTCATTTAAGTTCTCTGTCAGTATGATCATTGAAGTTCGCTGTCAGTATGATCATTTAAGCTCTCTGTCAGTATGATCATTTAAGCTCTCTGTCAGTATGTTCATTGAAGTTCTCTGTCAGTATCATTAAAGCTCTCTGTCAGTATGATCCTTTAAGCTCTCTGTCAGTATGATCATTGAAGTTCTCTGTCAGTATGATCATTTAAGCTCTCTGTCAGTAGGATCATTGAAGTTCTAAAGAATGATATGTTATGACATCAAAAACATCTACTGGGCATTGCATCAAAAACCTGTCCTGAAACTTTTGTCAAGCATGTTTTTATCCTATGCAATAATGAAATTCTTCCATAATTTGATTGCACAGATCTGTTAGTCCAAGTCAAAGTAGTTTTAAACAAGGGTCCACCAGAGCCAAGTCTCCTGCCATGCGTAGGGTTTTCATGAGTAGAAAATCTCTGTCCCCACAACGACCGCCCCCGGCCAGAATGTTGTCACCCCGCCCCCCTGCTCCACCCCGAAACCACTCTCCTGGACGCCACTTCCAAGTATCGTCACATCCACTGCAGGATTCAAATCCATCCCGACATAACCAAAATCGTGGACCTTCCCCCAGGCATCACCGTATCATGTCACCAATAAGACGCAGTGAAGAAAGTGGGGCAAACAACCTCCGGGAAGGAATGTGGCTGTCACAGCCCCCACAAACTCCACAAACCTATCAAGGTTTGTTGACATTTTAGACCTTTCAGTTTTTCAAATGTATCCACACATATGAATAAATTTATATTTTCATGAAGAAGCCACCACAGCTTTATTATTTCATTATCTTATTTCAATGAATTAATCTAGTACGCTTATTTTTGGATAATGCTATAAAATATCTCTGTGCAGGTCCAGACCCTCGCTCCAACATTCAGATTGTCTCAGGGAGGAACAGAGAGGAAGGTGAGTAGAAATTTTCAAGTCAGTTCTTTACTTTCCAGGATTTATTGCACTTTTTTCTATGATGACCACCAATGTCTTCACAGAAGTCATTCAATGTCATCACAGAAGTCATTCAATGTCATCACAGAAATCATTCAATATCATCACAGAAGTCATTCAATGGCATCACAGAAGTCATTCAATGTCATCACAGAAGTCATTCAATGTCATCACAGAAGTCATTCAATTGCATCACAGAAGTCATTTAATGGCATTACGGAGTCATTCAATGGCATCACAGAAGTCATTCAATGGCATCACTGAAGTCATTCAATAGCATCACAGAAGTCATTCAATTTCTGTCTCTCTGCTGCATAAATGTTCAGTTATGCTTCTAACTCAACTATTTTTATTTTATTCACAGATCTACGTAAAAGTCAGGGCACTTCCAAAAATCTGGTCTCTATTCAATCTGAATGGTAAGGAAAAGTTTCTTTCTAATGTCCCCAAATACCTGCCTGATAGTCTCACTCTGTGACCTTAATGAAGTGCAATAGAAGCTTGGTTTAGCTCACCTGGAAAGGGTTGAAGATAACAGCTATGTTACTGACAGTGTTGTAAAATTTTGCTTTGAAACAAGGGCGTGGAAACAGGCAAATGCGACAGGTGGACTAAAATGTTACTTTTACTTTTGCAATAACTCATGAATTCACTTTTGATAGGACACAGCAATGACTAGAAAACATGGCTGTGATATTTTTAGATCTCCATTTTTGATTTTGTCAACAAATACACATACTATTAATATTACTATCTTCCAAAATCACCTACCAAAAAAAAAACATTCTCCCCCCCCCTCTCTTTTCCCCTGGAGTGCAAACATTATGTATGTGAACTATCTTTGTGTAAAGACAGATTCAATTTGGAAGAGAAGAAATACCTCATTACCTTGCCTCCACTTTATCACAAGAATACTCAGTTGATACAAATACTTCAAAAGCCACAGTTTAGGAAACAGATTTGAGGAGGGAAGATTGTTGTTTTTATCTGTCTGAAACCACCCCTCCCCCCCCCCCCCCCTCCTCCTCACCGTGTGGCAACAGCTTTAGAACTTTAGAATCGCTGTGCCAGAAAATAAAAGCGGTTTACTTAAGAGCTTATACGATGCGCGGAGAATATGACAGAGCAAGGAGTATGTGCGGCGGGGGATCTTTGTACTGTAATCGTATGAGCATAAGCATCAAGCTTTTTCTGATTACTTTACACTGAGTACTGTATGATTTTTATTGTTCGTCCTTCGCATGCCAAGACGACAAAGGTTAGAGTGGTAGCTTTAAATTGAGCTGTACACCTTCTCGTCATTGCCCATCTGAGTGCAAGACTTAGTCAAGACGACTGAAAATAGACCAGGACGCAGTCGATGACCAGCCCCACAAGGTTGGGATCGATGACCAGCCCACAAGGTTGGGATCGATGATCAGCCCCACAAGGTTGTGATCGATGACCAGCCCCACAAGATTGGGATCGATGACCAGCCCCACAAGGTTGTGATCGATGACCAGCCCCANAACTTTTCTGTTAGGCTCTAACTTTTCTGTTACACTCTACCTTTTCTGTTACACTCTACCTTTTCTATTACACTCTAACTTTTCTGTTACACTCTAACTTTTCTGTTACACTCTAACTTTTCTGTTAAACTCTAACTTTCTGTTACACTCTAACTTTTCTGTTACACTCTACCTTTTCTATTACATTCTAACTTTTCTGTTACACTCTAACTTTTCTGTTACACTCTACCTTTTCTGTTACACTCTAACTTTTCTGTTACACTCTAACTTTTCTGTTACACTCTAACTTTTCTGTTAAACTCTAACTTTCTGTTACACTCTAACTTTTCTGTTACACTCTACCTTTTCTATTACACTCTAACTTTTCTGTTACACTCTAACTTTCTGTTACACTCTAACTTTTCTGTTACACTCTACCTTTTCTGTTAAACTCTAACTTTCTGTTACACTCTAACTTTTCTGTTTAACTTTCTGTTACGCTCTAACTTTTCTGTTACACTCTACCTTTTCTGTTACACTCTACCTTTTCTGTTACACTCTACCTTTTCTATTACACTCTAACTTTTCTGTTACACTCTAACTTTTCTGTTACACTCTAACTTTTCTGTTAAACTCTAACTTTCTGTTACACTCTAACTTTTCTGTTACACTCTAACTTTTCTGTTACACTCTACCTTTTCTGTTACACTCTAACTTTCTGTTACACTCTAACTTTTCTGTTACACTCTAATTTTCTGTTACACTCTAACTTTCTGTTACACTCTAACTTTTCTGTTACACTCTAACTTTTCTGCTCATAATGGTGACTGTATGTGAGAGAACTAATGGGTTTCTATTTTCAGGGCTGCTGTTCCACCTGGGAGTCAAACTAATGCTGGGAGACCATCGGATGGTCAAGATTTGCTTGATCAATTTATCGGACAAATGAAGCGGAACTCTCAGAGTCACCCGACTAGTTCACGAGCAAACTTTGAGGATGCTCCAAAGCTTGACAGTGTCAGGAGCAACTCTGGTGGATCTGTGAATTTTATAGATTCTGGGATAGGTTTGGGGGTGAGGAACACATCTGACCTAGGTCACGGTGGACTCCCATCTGGTTCTTACAACACAGCTAGGGGAGAGAATACAGAGTCTGTCCCTGGTACTTACAACACAGTTAGAAGAGAGAATACCGAGTCCAATCAAGCTGGTCAGAGGTTCGATACGCCTTACCGGCCTCAGGCGGGGACAAACATGAATTGGTTCGGGCGACAGGAGAGCAAACCTGCATTTGAGAGACCCCAAGAGACATTTGAGAGATCTCAGTTTTCTGCAGACTACCATCAGCAGAATCACAATATGAACGTACCCCCTCCCATCCCACCACCTGTGGCTCCCCCTATCTTGAACCAGTCTCTGTCCTCTCAGGACAGGATCTCACAGCTGGAAGCCTTGGCTAAACAGTTGGCAATGGACATCCAGAAGCAGCAGCCTGCACACCATGGTCAAACCTACTGGCCATTTTCAATGCAGCAGCAGCAAAATACAATGAATATGCCGAGACCTCAATCAACCATGATGGGTGCAGCATCCCAGCCCTCAATGATGGGCCCACCATCCCAGCTGTCAATGATGGGCCCACCATCCCAGCACTCAACAATGGGCCCACCATCACAGTCCTCAATGATGGGCTCACCATCACAGTCCTCAATGATGGGGCAACCATCCCAACCCCCTATGCTGAGAGGCCCGGCACCCGTTCACATGCAAGGCTATTTACCCCAGACAACACCAACAATGGGTTCCCAACCCTCCGCCACTTTCCCTGGAGCTAATGCATGGCAGAGAGGGCGAAATTTCTGAGACATTATAGTGTACAAGTATTGATGGCTTTCATTCTTTAAGTTTCAGAGCATGTACAGAGAGCTACCTGTTCTCTCTGATCTGTTTTATTGATGTGCTTTATGTATGCTCGTATTAGCTTTTATAACAAAAACATTGACATTTAATCAAAATAAGTTGAAATTTGATTGAACAAAAAAAATATTAGTATCTCCTGAACAAAAAGGTTCACTGTACTTTTTCAGTGTGTACTATACTTTCTCACGACACTATTTTTAAAATTCTGCCAATTATTTCCTCTTTTGTTTTAGTATAATAAAAGGTTTGAGCCAACTATGAAGAGTCTACAACTGTTTGTTTGTTACTGCAGTTCTTAGTGTAACCGTCAGAAACCTGATATCATTTGAGTTGGTTATTGTATGGGATTTTATTTCAATAAAATGATTCAAAATTCAGTTAATATTTCAATAAAATGATTCAAATTTCAGTTAATACTTAGTTAATACTTACTACCTTTTCTTTTACGGAAACATATTATTATGATTGGGTGTCATCTGATACATATTCAATTTAATGTGTCCCAGAGTGTGTCCAATATTTTATTTTGTTATTTACTTACCAATAAAAACAAACTTTACTCCATGTTGCTGAGTTGTTTCACAACATATTGTTACAGTGTTTCACCTCATACTGCCCAGTTGTTTCACCCCAGAATGCCCTGTTGTTTCACCCCAGAATGCGCAGTTGTTTCACCCCAGAATGTCCAGTTGTTTCACCCCAGAATGCGCAGTTGTTTCACCCCAGAATGTCCAGTTGTTTCACCCCAGAATGCCCAGTTGTTTCTCCCCAGAATGACCAGTTGTTTCACCCCAGAATGTCCAGTTGTTTCACCCAAGAATGTCCAGTTGTTTCACCCCAGTTTTTTCACCCAAGAATGTCCAGTTGTTTCTCCCCAGAATGTCCTGTTGTTTCACCCCAGAATGCCCAATTGTTTCACCCCAGAATGTCCTGTTGTTTCACCCCAGAATGCGCAGTTGTTTCTCCCCAAAATGCCCAATTGTTTCACCCCAGAATGTCCAGTTGTTTCACCCCAGAATTCGCAGTTGTTTCACCCCAGAATGTCCAGTTGTTTCACCCCAGAATGCCCAGTTGTTTCTCCCCAGAATGACCAGTTGTTTCACCCCAGAATATCCAGTTGTTTCACCCAAGAATGTCCAGTTGTTTCACCCCAGAATGACCAATTTTTTCACCCCAGTATGCCCAGTTTTTCACCCCAGAATGTCCAGTTGTTTCACCCCAGAATGTCCAGTTGTTTCACCCCAGAATGTCCAGTTGTTTCACCCCAGAATGTCCAGTTGTTTCACCCCAGATTGCCCAGTTGTTTCTCCCCAGAATGTCCAGTTGTTTCACCCCAGAATGTCAAGTTGTTTCACCCCAGAATGCCCAATTGTTTTACCCCAGTAAGCCCAGTTGTTTCTCCCCAGAATGTCCAGTTGTTTCTCCCCAGAATGTCCAGTTGTTTCTCCCCAGAATGTCCATTTGTTGCACCCCAGAATGTCCAGTTGTTTCACCCCAGAATGTCCAGTTGTTGCACCCCAGAATGTCCAGTTGTTGCACCCCAGAATGTCCAGTTGTTGCACCTGATTCTGCTGGATTACTTAACCAATTTTGAGGAGTCATAAATAAACGAATATCTGATTTAGTTGATATTCAAGTGCTTTTTAAACTGTCTTTACACTATACTTATACTATAAAAAATAATGATCTTCTAATTTGAAAGAATAATATTTGAGATATAGGACTACTGTTAAATAAATGTCGAGTTCATTGACAAAACCATCAAACAACCACCAAGTCTGAATCCAGATGATCTTGAAAATGAATTATACACAGTGAGAAGCCAATAAATCCCCTTTAAATAAGGCCATATGGGGGAAGTCAGCAAAATCATGTTTAGTAACACAAAGGATAATATGTAAAAGAAGAACAGAGGATGTGTCGGCATAAAGCATTTTTTGGCAAATACAAAAAAATTTGAACAATAAAATGTACTAGTAGTACAAATTACCTGATGCCGTGTTCTATAAAAACTATGAAATAGTATAGAACTAAAGAGTTTATAGAAATATAAAGAAATTTACATATATGAGACCGTTTCATAATTTTTTGTTTAATATGGTAAATTGTTTGTACCCGCTACCAAATTGTGCTACATTGGTGAAACTAGATGACTCCTTTCAGTGGACAGATTCAGCCAACTCATTCAAGATAAACAATGTGTTGTCTCGCCCAACTTCAATAGAAGTGATCATAAATGCGCAATGGATGTTTCCATTGTTATTATTGCTTCCTCTACCAACAGGCCAGCCATGGTGAGGTTGGAGAATAAATAAATCAACACGGTTTGGACCCAGGCACCACAATGCATCTATGTCATGTTCTTATTTGATTGCTTTCTCTGATCTACTTTTGCCACTACCAATTCACTGATTTTTCTCAAAACCTCGCTCACCCAAGGCCATCTGCCCCCACTTGACTGAACCGTAAGCCTTCGTCACCCTTTGAATTCTGCCAAACCTCCTTCCCCCCGTCCCGTTCTGGGATGATTACGGGCATATTCCAAGACTAGCGCTATTTCAAGGTTGGTTATTTCCAGGTATCACTTGCCAAAAAGAACCATACAAATGTAAATGCAGTGTTTTCACGAGGGGGGGGGGGCGGACAAATTCAAATTGCACCCCGGGCGGCACGGTATCTGGTTACGCTCCTGCAAGTTAGCATCAGATACGTTATTTGTGGAGTTTACTTAAATTTTATAAATTTTTTATTCACTTGTTGATGTCCATTGTTTTGTTGACTTTCCCCCCACACAACTAGTGCCTTTTATTTTCTTTTTTAAAAACAGCTAATGTTTATTTTAAATTTACATCATTTTATTTCTAACAAAACTTCAGGTTACTGAAATGTAAATGCTAAAAGATAGATGGAACAACATGGTTGAAACGTCGAATGTTTTTATTTACTTACTTTATCCTAATTTGGACTTTTTAGAGAGTTTCAAGCAAACCTACATAGATCAATATTATAGTATTGAAATATAAATAGGTTATGTTATTTGGTAACACTCTTCTGCATATTTAAAAAAAAATATCTTTGTTTCAATGTAATTGAATATTTGTTTTTAAATAGTTTTAGAACATAGGCGAATGAATTATTCCAGCTGACAATGTATCTTTTTAAACGCACCGCAGAACCCAATCACTGATTCTGGTGGGCAAATAACACAGTGGAAGGTAGGTCACTAAGGCGTCATGACCAACTATGTACCTCGTCCTAGGATATTTTGAGGTTAGTCCGTGCACGTAGCAGTTCACAACGAGGCTGGTGTCCGATGAGCCACATTCTATAACCTTTTCTATCCCCAGTTTGACTGTAGACAAAGAAAGATCATTTGTACAAAGCTTAAACATTTTCAATGAAAGATGACCTTTCAGTTATGGAAATCAATAAGATCTTGTGTACACAACTTTAACATTTACAATGAAAGATAACCTTTCAGTTATGGAATTCAATAAGTTCTCGGTGATTAACAAAGTATTGAATCTTTGCAAGGAAAATAAAACCCATGACTAGATGAACTGAGAATCCCAGGCCCTTACATTTGGCTGGCACATCACCGTAAGTGTCCTTCACTTCAGAGGTGGCCTTATTGTAGCTGACTCGCACTTGTTCAGTGAGTCTCTCCACGTTGAAGATGGGGGTCATGAATGCTCCTGGCTCTAACAAGATGACACTGACACCCCTCAAATACAGCTCTCGTCTAGAGACAAAAGTCAACACGTGTTTTAGTGGACACAAATAAGATCTCTATGACCCTTCAACACCTACCACTTGCCTGAGAAGATGTGTACAATCTTCAACACCCACCACTAACCTGAGAAGATGTGTACAATCTTCAAACCCACCACTAACCTGAGATCTGTACAACCTTCAACATCCACCACTAAAAGAGAAGATGTGTACAACCTTCAACATCCACCACTAACCTGAGAAGATGTGTACAACCTTCAACATCCACCACTAACCTGAGAAGATCTGTACAACCTTCAAACCCACCACTAACCTGAGATCTGTACAACCTTCAACATCCACCACTAAAAGAGAAGATGTGTACAACCTTCAACATCCACCACTAACCTGAGAAGATGTGTACAACCTTCAACATCCACCACTAACCTGAGAAGATCTGTACAACCTTCAAACCCACCACTAACCTGAGAAGATGTGTACAATCTTCAACACCTACTACTAGCCTGAGAAGATGTGAACAATCTTCAACACCTACTACTAACCTGAGAAGATCTGTATAACCTTCAACACCAAACTTGGAAACTGTGTAAGGAGGAGCGAAGATGGCGATCCTGCCACAAATACTGGCCATGTTGATCACCCTCCCCTTTGCTACTCTGATCAAGGGGAGGAAAGTCCTCGTCATTTCAATCAGTCCAAGCAAATTAATGTTCAGGGCAGTGACGTAGTCTTCCCTTGTGCACAACTCACTCACCGACATATTGCCAGTTATGCCGGCATTGTTCACCAATCCCCAAAGTCCTGGCAAGGAACATAAATGACGTGTATTTATTGTAGTGGGCTAGAGAACAACATGGAAAGCGGTGGCGCTTACAAATATTACTAACCTACAACTGAAACCAGCGTCCATAATGTGCATATATTTATAACTTACCACTAAACCAAGTATCCATAATGTGTATACATTATTCCGTACTTTGTCATAGAAACCATTGTAAGCGTCATAAGTAATAGAGCATGCAAATTTGAAACATTTACTTGTAAACAACAAATTATTAAAATTATGTTAGATTCGTACAGAACTAGAATATATGACCCGGTGTTATCGGCGTCGTAAAGGAAGGCATTTTTTCGCTACTTTCCACCTGCTATTGCGACGTTTTAACATCTTTACATCCAATTTTCCACGTATGTTACTGAAACCGGTTTTTAATGTATTGCATTTTCAAAACAAATATTTAAAAATACGACAATTTTCAACGCCCTTGAAATGTTTATTTAGAAAACAATCAAGGAGATTCACGTTAATTTTTAAAGAAAAATGTTGTATTAATATTTACGTCTCTTACATCATTGGGGTTTGTCAATTGTATCTTCTAAATAATCTAGACATGACAACCCCTTGCTCAAGCCTCCGAACAACAACAACATGTTTCTAAAAAGTATAAAAACATATGCTTAAAAATATATGTATCATTTCATATATCTCTAACACTAACGGGTTTTAATTTATTAGTATCTTCATTTAAAATTTACCCAAAATATGCATTGCTCTTGATCTATGTAATCGGAAAATCGTTTAAAAAATGAACTTTAATATTTAAAGACTCATCTGTTAACATATTGTCACGTCTGAAACAGTTGTTTTTTTGTTTTTTTGGTGTTTAAAGAGACATTCTAAAGTTCATTAAAAAAATCTCCTGTCTCTAAGCTGTAATTTGCGCAAATGGAAAAAACAATCGTATGCCCTATTTGTTTACGCCACTGAACTGTATTTTCGTGAAATAAAAAAAAAAAAGAATATAAATAATTTTAAAGATTAAATTTCACATCTGTAATACAGCATAGTTGGAAGGCTTTCGCCCGAGTTGCATTAACACGCCTACAGACCCTAGCATCGCGTGTACTCCCAGAATCGCAATGTGGTTTTCGCGCCGGTAGGTCAACCATAGACATGATCTTCTCTCTGCGCCAGCTGCAGGAGAAGTGCAGGGAGCAACATATGCCTTTATACATTGCGTTTGTCGACCTCACTAAGGCTTTTGATCTTGTCAGCAGAAGCGGCCTGTTTCAGATCCTCAAAAAGATAGGCTGCCCTACACGACTGCTTAACATCATCAAGCAGTTCCACGAAAACATGCAGGGCACAGTGTGCTATAACGGTGCCGCCTCAGAAGCTTTTCCAGTGAGTAGTGGAGTTAAGCAAGGTTGCGTGCTGGCTCCTACTTTATTTGCAATCTTTTTCTCCATCCTACTCCAGTATGCCTTTCAGAACAACAGCGAGGGGATATACATCCACACTAGAGATGACGGCAAATTATTCAACATTGCCTGCCTTAGAGCTAACGTTTTAAACAAGAAAGGTCATGCTGCGGGAGTTCTTGTTTGCGGACGATGCCGCTTTGGTATCTCACACAGCTGACGGCCTGCAGAGCCTCGTATCCAGCCTATCCACTGCCTGCAAAGAGTTTGGCCTGACAATTAGCCTAAAGAAAACTAACATTATGGCACAGGGCGCTGACTCCCTCCCCACTATCGCCATCGACGACTACGACTTGGATACTGTTGACAGTTTCACATATCTGGGATCCAACATATCGAGCACCCTCTCAATGGAGGATGAGATAAGTGGGAGGATAGGGAAGGCCGCAACTGTTATGGCCAGACTTAAGAAAAGAGTCTGGTCAAACGCCAGACTCACAAAAAGAACTAAGCTGCAGGTGTACCAGGCCTGCGTACTGAGCACACTTCTGTATGGATGTGAGTCGTGGACCACATACTCTAACCACGAAAGAAGGCTCAGTGGCTTCCACCTCAGATGTCTGTGCCACATCCTTGACATTAAATGGCAAGACAAAGTTCCCAACACGGATGTCCTGTCCCAAACAAACATGTGTAGCGTCCCAGCCATGTTAATCCAAAGACGCCTCCGCTGGCTTGGACACGTCAAGAAATTGCAACCTGGTCGCATACCAAAGGAATTGCTATACAGCGAGCTGGCGACAGTGAAAAGGTCAGTTGGACGGCCTCGTCTGAGATGCTTAGACATATGCAAAAGAGACTTGAAGTCGGCCAACATCGACATCTCAAATTGGGAGCAGCTGGCAGAGGATCGATCCTCATGGCGGGGCATCGTCAAGGCAGGAGCACTACATGCCGAGGAGCAAAACAAGGCGGAAACAGCTGCAAAAAGAGCGAGGAGGAAGGCAGGTAAATACTGCTCCACCTCATTCGTGTGTGGGAAATGTAACAGAGACTGCCATTCGAGGATTGGTCTCACCAGCCACACCAAGAGCTGCAAGCAATAAAGATAATCTATCGTCTCCCGCAGACGGAAAGATGCCATACAATATGTATATATATATACATGTAATTTTATTCAACATAAGAATTTTAATTAATGTTAACGAAATGTTCACTAAACATTTTTAAATAAAACAGTTTGTTTTCCTCATAAATTAATTATTTGCAAACTCTTTATTCTAACCCCTGAACTTATTTATTGGAGGCTATTCGGACCCGGGTCCAAGAAGTGAGAGGTTCGGATTAAAAATTTAAAATATATATATTATTGTTAGTGTTACGTTGTAAGACAAATTTTGGTATCAAATGAAAGATAACTGAATGGACTATATGTTTGTAAACTTAATTCTTCAGTTGAACTAAAATAAACTACCACAAATGATATCCGAATAGTATTTGGTCGAATGGGACCCGGGTCCGAATAGGGGCGATGCGTATCCGGTTCCATTTTGACTAAATGCTATTCGGATGTGTGAGCTGCTTAGCCGACCTCTATTCTGAGGCAACGTCCGCTTGACCAGTTCCAAGGCCGCCTCAACACTCTCAGCTTTACTGACATCAAGCTGTACGGTGACCAGACGTTTGGAGCAGTTCTTGGCCAAATATTCCCTTCCATCTTGTGTCAGACATCCAGCAAACACGTGAAAACCTAAGCTGTCCAGGCGCCTGTAACAAATTAAATCTACCACTATAAAGGATGTCCAGCTGTCTGTAACAAATTAAATCTACCACTATAAAGGCTGTCCAGCTGTCTGTAACAAATTAAATCTACCACTAAAAAGGCTGTCCAGCTGTCTGTAACAAATTAAATCTACCACTATAAAGGCTGTCCAGCTGTCTGTAAAAAATTAAATCTACCACTATAAAGGCTGTCCAGCTGTCTGTAACAAATTAAATCTACCACTATAAAGGCTGTCCAGCGGTCTGTAACAAATTAAATCTACCACTAAAAAGGCTGTCCAGCTGTCTGTAACAAATTGATTCTACCACTATAAAGGCTGTCCAGCTGTCTGTAACAAATTAAATCTACCACTATAAAGGCTGTCCAGCTATCTGTAACAAATTAAATCTACCGCTATAAAGGCTGTCCAGCTGTCTGTAACAAATTAAATCTACCACTATAAAGGCTGTCCAGCTGTCTGTAACAAATTAAATCTACTACTAAAAAGGCTGTCCAGCTGTCTGTAACAAATTAAATCTACCACTATAAAGGCTGTTCAGCTGTCTGTAACAAATTAAATCTACCACTATAAAGGATGTTCAGCTGTCTGTAACAAATTAAATCTACTACTAAAAAGGCTGTCCAGCTGTCTGTAACAAATTAAATCTACCACTATAAAGGCTGTTCAGCTGTCTGTAACAAATTAAATTTACCACTATAAAGGATGTTCAGCTGTCTGTAACAAATTAAATCTACCACTATAAAGGCTGTCCAGCTGTCTGTAACAAATTAAATTTACCACTATAAAGGATGTCCAGCTGTCTGTAACAAATTAAATTTACCACTATAAAGGCTGTACAGCCGTCTGTAACAAATTAAATCTACCACTATAAAGGATGTCCAGCTGTCTGTAACAAATTAAATCTACCACTATAAAGGCTGTCCAGCTGTCTGTAACAAAGTAAATCTACCACTATAAAGGATGTCCAGCTGTCTGTAACAAATTAAATCTACCACTATAAAGGATGTCCAGCTGTCTGTAACAAATTATATCTACCACTATAAAGGGAGACGTTCCCGTCATGTTCGTTAACTAGTATTCCAGAGCGTAGTCAATGGCACACATTAAAATGTTGCTTGATGATTGTCTTTGTGGCAATTCTTTGAGGCGGTTAAGAAATCCACTTGTTGAACTATATTAAATTTTAAAAATATATTCTATACATTCAAGATGCCTGGTACAAATAACATAGTGATCAATTAGGCCCATCCATTACCTATCTTTAACTACGCTACAAGTATTTTGTAAATAATAATGTCTTATTATTATTTATTTTTTTACAATAAGGTTGGTCTTCCACGTGATTATAAATAGATCGTGAAATTAAATGTTACATTTCAAAAACACACAGGACTGAAGAAAAAAAATGAAAAGAGAGGAGATGTTATAGAGCATACAGTAATTAACTTGATTGTGTTTAGACTAATAAATTGTATCATCTGTGTATTACAATAAAATTATTTTACCATGTATGCCAAGTTCATTTTTATTTGAAAAATAGTATACGATTCACAGCAGACTTTGACGAATACATTGTAAAGAAATGTCTTACTACTGTCAGACATCAAGGCCATTGACCTTCCAGAAAGGCCCTCATTTAATTGTTGTTTTTTTACCAATTATATTAGGATCGAATGAACTTTAGTAGGCTACAGGTAAGAAAGTGCCCAGCCTACTCCCTTCAATAGGCTACAGGTAAGAAAGTGCCCAGCCTCCTCCCTTCAGTATGCTACAGGTAAGAAAGTGCCCAGCCTACACCCTTCAGTAGGCTACAGGTAAGAAAGTGCCCTGCCTCCTCCCTTCAGTAGGCTACAGGTAAGAAGTGCCCTGCCTCCTCCCTTCAGTAGGCTACAGGTAAGAAAGTGCCCAGCCTCATCCCTTCAGTAGGCTACAGGTAAGAAAGTGCCCTGCCTCCTCCCTTCCGTAGGCTACAGGTAAGAAAGTGCCCAGCTTCAGGTAAGAAAGTGCCCAGCCTCCTCCTTTCAGTGGGCTACAGGTAAGAAAGTGCCCTGCCTCCTCCCTTCAGTAGGCTACAGGTAAGAAAGTGTCATGCCTCCTCCATACACGCCATATTTTAACTTGTTCGCGTGTTAAGATTAGCGACCAACAGAATAAGACTTTGAGGCCAAGGCTGTGTGCAATAATTAATAATGGTATTTGGTTCATTCGCATCCAATATACAATATAGAGTCTAGTTTAATTTCAGATCCAGTTTACTGTAAAGGTTGTAAAAATGCTATTTTATTAAATGTTTCTAACTCCTACTTACATTTTATAAGGCCCTAATTTTTTAAAAGAATTTTTTCCGATAGTCTAAGTCAGTGGTGGGAAAATCGCGAGCCGCATGCGGTCCTTTGACAACCTGAGTGCGGCTCGGCCAGTCGGCCACAAATCGGTTTTGACTCCGAAAAAAATGGTTCTTGACAGGTTTTGAAAAGAAATTTGGGCTCAAAAGAAAAAATGTAATCATCTTGCTGTTGAGTTTGCCGACCACTGGTCTAGGTGTATGGATGGTCAAAGGCAGAGACCTACTTCTAGACGGGAGTTCAAACCCCAAGCAATACTAAGACTAAAAAAGAAATTCTGCAGCCAGGGGAGTGCAAATAGGGGTGGGCGAATGGGGGGGGCACTCTCCATGGGTGCCAGTGTTAAGCGTTGACAAAATCGTCTTTCGGTAGACACTAATGGTGAATGGCGCTATGAATGCCATGCACTTCACACATGAAATGGGCCGTAAAAGTTAAGATTTAAATGCTCCAGCCAGAGCGAAACTTTTTCTATATATTGGTGGACGCCATTTTCAGACTTCGCCCCGGGCGCAACTTTTCCTTGTCACCACCCTGCCTTCAGCAATACCAGACTAAAAGAGTGAAATATCCAGCAGTACCAAGAGTAAAGGAGTAAAATATCCAACAATAACAGACTAACAGAGTAAAACCTCCAGCAATAACAGACTAACAAAGTAAAATATCCAACAATACCGGACTAACAGAGTAAAATTTCTAGCAATAACAGCCTAACAAAGTGAAATCCCCAGCAGTACCAGACTAAAAGAGTAAAAATATCCATCAATACCAGAGTAAAAGAGTAAAATATCCAGCAATACCAGCGTAACAGAGTAAAATCTCCCGCAATAACAGACTAACAGAGTATCTAACGATTGAAAACCTTATAGCCCGCGTTTCCATATAGTTAAATCTTGGGGCAAAGTTGTAAAGTCCAAAAGACTGGGTTCGAGGCTAAAGAAATCTACGCCCTGTGAATCAGTTATGTTTACATCTAAAACCTAATCAACGCTTACGTAGATTCGCTACTTCGAGACTGGAACTACATCATCATTTCATGGAGTCGTTTTTTGTGTAAATTTTAAGATACCCCTTCAATGTGGTGTATTGGGTCTTACATATCAGTCTGTCCGATGAATCTGGTTTAGTGGCCCCAAACTTTTTGAGCTGTCAAACGTGGCGTCTATCAAAAGCTCTATTTGTCTAAAACATCTAAATTTCTCCTTGTCAAAAAAAGTCTTACCCAAATATCTTCAGGTCTCATTGTTGCATATGTCTCACCACAATCTCTTAAGGTTCCATTGATACCAATGTCTCAGCCCAAATCTCATAGGGTCCCTTTGACACCAATGTCTCACCACAATCTCTTAAGGTCCCTTTGACACCAATGTCTCACCACCATCTCTTTAAGTTAATGTCTCACTCCAACCTCGTTAAGTCTCATTGACACAAATGTCTCACCCCAATCTCTTAAAGTGTCATAGACACCAATGTCTCACCCCAAATCTCTTAAAGTCCCTTAGACACCAATGTCTCACCACCATCTCTTTAAGTTCCACTGACACCAAAATCATACCACACTCTCTTTAAGTCCCATTGACACCAATGTCGCAGCTAAATATATCTTAAAGTCTAATAGACACCAATGGCTCAGCCAAATATCTTAAAGTACAATTTACACCAATCTCTCATATATATTTTTTTTCGTCCTCAATTGCGACCAGCCACAATTTCAGATCTAAAAGTCCTCTGCACATTATGTTTGCATACAATTTTTATCTTTGCATGAATGATTTTAGCTATGTCAGGATAACCCTAAATGGATGACGTTGATTGGTGGATTATGACCCGCACATTTTGAGGCATTTATAGATGGCTGAAGCTGATGGTGGATTAGGATGCGCATAGTTGGATGCATTTACAACAAGCATTCAACGGAATTTGACACTTGAGAAATCGTTCTCTGCCTAGAGGGCGATACTCATTCTATTTAAAGCAACACAGCCTGTACTTTTACCGCCCCAACAAGCAGAGATGTAGCTACCATTGACACGTTGTGACGTGCCGCTAGATGTAGCTACCATTGACACGTTGTGACGTGCCGCTAGACGTAGCTACCATTGACACGTTGTGACGTGCCGCTAGTTTTATTTAATTAAATTCAAATGAATTGTAAAGTGCTTAAACAAAAATAATAATAAACTACATTTTTGATCTGTCGAACTCAGTGGCAAAAGTCTCAAATATTTTTTGTCCATTGATTTTGTAACATTGGGAAAGTCCGCCTTTTTGTACTGATATTTTAGGTCGTTTCAACAAGTACCAGGCCTACATTTAGCACTTTATCCACTTGGGTTCTGTGGACCCTGAAGCCCAACAGCTTGACATCTGTTAAAGCTGATCTTATAATCATGATTAGATGTCCTCCATTAGAGGTGAAAGTCCTCCAAAAGGAGGTAAACGTACTAGCAGAGGAGGTGAAATTCCTACAAGAGAAGCTCTATGTCCTACATGAGAAGTAAAAATGCTAAAAGAGAAGTAAAAGTCCTCAAGATTGGGTTAAAGTCCTTCACGAAAAGGTAAAAAACCTACAAGAGAAGGCTAAAGTCCTACTCGAGGAAGTAATAGCTTTCGTGCGAAAAATTATCTTTATGAAATGTTATCGATTGATTACACTTCTAATATAAAATAATCATCACTAGAAGGTAATAGGACTTTGTAAATGGTAATTGTTGATCACCAAAAGGATACGGTTCTCATGAAGATAATATTCCGAATGAGGGAACCCATGAGAAGGTAATAGTTCTACTTGAAAGGTAAATATTCCTCTATGAGAGGGTAATTGTTGGGAAGGTCGTTAAATCTATCATAAAAAAAAAAATAGCTCACTATGTCGTAGTACGATCAAAGCTCGAATTTGTGGCAGTATGATCAAAGCTACGAATTTGTGGCAGTATGATCAAAGCTACGAATTTGTGGCAGTATGATCAAAGCCACGAATTTGTGGCAGTATGATCAAAGCTACGAATTTGTGGCAGTATGATGAAGCTACAAATTTGTCGCAGTATGATCAAAGCCACGAATTTGTCGCAGCATGATCCGATAGAATTGACGCTAATTGTCTGGAACTAATGCTAACGCTAGACAACCTCTGGAAATGCGTGGCTTTTAAAGACTGCAGTTAAAGCCCTTTTTATATTACAAAGACACTATTCTATACACTGCAAATTTTGGCATAATATATTACGTCACAATACAAACGTCGCCATTGCTAAAAATCCATCAGCTGATGAAGGTCAAGGGCAACGCGCTTTGGATACTTCTTAACTAAGATTGAAAATCTGTAAACAACACCGTGGTTCATGAGTTAAGGAGCCCACCTTTCTACGAAGCGATGGTGGGTTTAAATCCACTAAGTGGGTTTTATTATTTTTAAATGATTTTTTTTTTTATAACTTAAAAATGATTTGTGTTTTAATGAATTTCGTGACGTATTTAACAAAAGTATACATTTAAACCATACCTTTTTCCACAAAGATAAAAATGGAAATTAAATTAATATATCCGGGAGAGAAATAAGTAAGCGACTAGACAGATGGAGAAGACGATAGTTGACCGGTCAGATTTGGAGAATAAGACTCTGGATAGGAACCCATGACCATGAATAAAGAGTTTGTCTCTACAGATTTATATATTTATTTTTATATTCATAAATAATGGTCATGTGATCTCTATTCTGCCGGATGCGTCAACTCGTTTGTTCGTATGGACCGTTCCGGTCTTCGTTACTTACTTGGCCAGTTCTTGACCGAAGCCCGAGTCACATCCGGTCACGAGGACGTACTTGTCCTCATAGTTGCCGACCTTAAGACTTCTCAGAACTCGGTCAACAAAGATGTAAGTTGTGACCACAATGGCCACAACAGACACGATCCAGATCATTGCATCAGATTAGTGCAGACACGATTTTTTTTTCTCCAACTTTTCGGTTTTATCTTATTTTTGTTTTCCTGGCGGGGAAAAAAACGAGATTTGAATAGAACGAGATTTGAATAACTTTTTGTGTTTGTCTTAAGACTTTTACCCCCATCCTTAATTGGTGCATCATCGTTGAGACCCCCCCCCCCATCCCCACAAGCCATTTAAAATTTTAATTTACATAATAGAACTAAAATGCTCTAAAATTTAAATTAATGTCCTAAAAAAACATTGATGAATTAGTTTGTGTAGTGTTGGTTCTGTTTTACATGTGGTAAATTACAGATTTTTTAAATATTTTTTTTAAAACTTTGTACCGCGCTTCGAGCATTTGAGGATGAAGCGTGTTTTTGAAATGAACTTTATTATTATTATTATTTAATGAGATTTAATTTCTTTAATTTTTTTCTTTGTGTTCACCTTATGAACATTTGAACAAGAAAAGTTTTCTCAAAGTCCTTACCTCACGCTTGTCTTATGTCAGCAGATAAACCGTGTCAGATCAAGCCTTGAAACTTTGGCATCGTTTATATACTACTGACACTAAAGTGCAGGCTGCCCGACTTCTCCCCACCTCCCCCCCCCCACACCCACACAAAATCACCCCCACCTCACCCTTTCTATATTGATTACATGGTATGTTTGTTTAAAGTATTCAGTGAGACTGGTTCGAGAACTTGTCTTATGTCAGCAGATAAACCGTGTCAGATCAAGCCTTGAATCTTTGGCATCGTTTATATACTACTGACACTAAAGTGCAGGCTGCCCGACTTCTCCCCACCTCCCCCCCCCACACCCACACAAAATCACCCCCACCTCACCCTTTCTATATTGATTACATGGTATGTTTGTTTAAAGTATTCAGTGAGACTGGTTCGAGAACTATTCCTCCTTAACAGTATTTTGGATTATTTAATGCTACGCATTCTACTGGAGGCCACCGTCATTGCAGTTCACCGATTCCCTTGGCTGGCATAGCGATAAGAGGTCAGAGTTCAACCAAAACACTTGGCTGGCATAGAGTTAAGAGGTCAGAGTTCAACCAAAACACTTGGCTTGCGTAGAGTTCGCCTCTATGACACAAATGCCAAACATGTACAGACATTCAAATTCCAAGGAGAAATGTTTTAAAAAAATAATATTGTGTAACAAAATGACGGTGTATCGGGTCAATGATAGATTCATCATTCCGAGATTGTCACATGACGGCGTATCGGCATAATGGTAGCTTCATCATTCCGATGCTCTCACTAAGCAGTCACCAGAACGTCACGTGTTGACCAAGTTGACAACAGTAGCGAAATCAGCATTAGAACATTTTATTTTCTACTCATGTAAGTTGTTCGACCGGAAGAAAGTTGTGGAAAATGAGGGTCAGTTCATAGCGTACGTTAAGTCACGCTCCAAAAAAGTGGTGGGGGTGGGTAAGAAAGTATAACAGCCTGCAACATGGGAGGGGGGGGTGAAAAAAATCTCGCGTGTTTATTTATCATCCAAATAACACAAAAAATTGACAGTGATGTTAAATTTTCTGTTGTGATGGATGTATTCTGGTAGAAGATTTACCTTTTATACATTTAAGTAAGTGTGTTTTAGATTGAATATTAATAGGTTGTTAATTTTTTAACAAATTTTGTTGGTTCAAGCGTGTGACGCACTGTATGGGGGATTCGTGACAGATTGTGGCAGAGCGAAGGAGGGGTAACATATTCAATACAATATCGTGACGTACTTAATGGACGGCTCCTGAAATGTAGCAGTAGAGGCCAAAGTTCCCTTGGAAAGAAATAAGGAATGTGGCTATCACCTTGGTAGAAATTTGGGAAGGTGGCTATCCTTTAATACAGAGAACATAATGCTTTTAATGTCAGTTAAATAACTCTTTGAGCTGAAGTCAATCATTGCTCTATGATGCGCGCGCATCCACTCAGAGAACATGAGCAAATGAAAACACTGATAGTATCTAGCTAACACACATATTCTGTTGAGGGTCTGAGATTACCTTCTTATGACCCCGGCTAGTACATTGCCAACCAGCTCCATCTGCTGAGATGAGCCGTACACCATTTTCCTCATGTAGGCTCTCCAACCGCCCTGGCTTCCCCCGGGACATCTTGTGAGAGATATTTAGTCAAATGGTGCGCTAGTGTTTCCGGGACCAGGCTGCAATGCCGGCAGGTAGGGTCCCTGTTGTGATCTAGTATGTGCCAATGGCGCTTTGCTCTGTGGGCATCTGCGTCACTATACTCTGCTGTCTACGGTCTAGCCCCCACCATGGGTCTTGTCTCCTAGAAGTGGGTATGTTTGAAAAGACGCCTCTCGCGGTCTATTGTCTACCCATTGCCCGTGCCATATCGTTCTGAAATGGTCTGCCAACCAGTTCTTAGTTTCCAAGTAAGTTATTGGTACTTCTGGCTGAGGCTGGGAAGTCCCGGTTTTTGCCAGAGTGTCCGCTCTCTCATTGCCACTGACGTTGACGTGCCCTGGGATCATTGCACGGTCACCTTTCTGCCTAGTTCATCGATCGTGCACACGTCATCAATGATGACGTCAACTAGGTGAGTGGTACCTGATCTCTTTTACAAGATTTCGAGATCTTGAGTCTGAGTACACGATCACATCGAGCCCCTCAAGCTACGTCTCTTTCAACGTGTGATACACGCTCTCCCGGGTGCTGTGAATAGCCTCGAGTCCCGTCTCTTTCAACGTGTGGTACACGCTCTCCGGGGTGCTGTGAATAGCCTCAAGCTCCGCATCAAAGTTTGATGCTGCAGTCCCACGAGTTCCTGATTTGGTGGTCCCCCTGCTGGGTAGAGTATGAGCGCACTGTACCTGCAGTTCTTTTTCTCAAATTGGCAGTGAACACTTTCACTGGTGCATTCGAATACAGAGCCATGGTCTCAAGGGCAGCCGCTTTCTGGACAGGTTTAGAGCTGCGCTTCGTCTCTGCTGCATCAGCCAAGGCCAAATGTAGGGAGGGACGTGAGGGTTCCACATACGGCGGTTTTGGTTGGGATTAGGGTCAGTCGTTCTCTATGGCGAGGTAGGTCGACTGTCCTCTCAAGCTCCACTACTTGATGCATACATGAAGATATTTTTAGTCGTCTAACCGCCATCTAGTTGTTCTGCACGTGGAGCGACGGTTCCTTTTCGTTGTGCCGCAGTTACCTCCAGATGTTTTTTAAAATACTTTTCCCTCCTAATGTCTAATGTCTATACATTGGCCAAGACCGCTACAGCAGCAGTAGATGTGGTTCTGAATACGCCACAGATTAATCTCAAAGCCTAATTCTGGATGCGGCCCAACTTTTCCAATGCAGTCCTGATCTCGATCGCATGTTTCAGAATAGTCCGCTTATTGGTGAAAAGCGAATAGACCGTCTTCTCGGTGTTGATTTTTCTGGTGCCACATGAACCTGTTGATAGAGGAAATGTCCTGCTGTAGTAGCTGTTGCAGGCTGTGGACATCCTTACCGGTGCTCCAGATGACCAAATCGTCGACATACATAGCAGCACTAGTTGCTAAATTTGTGGCAAGTCATTTATGTATGCGAGGAAAAGAGTGCAACTAAGGCCTGACCCTTGTGATAGCCCTTCTTTCAAGGTTCTCTTGCTGGAGGTTTCGCTGCCGAATTTTGTGTTGATTGTCCGCTTTGTAAGAAAATCGAAAATCCACCTGTACATGTTGGCAGTTACTCCCAACTTTTGCATCTTAACAATAAGCCGGACATCCAGACCTGGTCATAGGCCTGTCACAGATTAAAAAAAAATACAGCCACCGTATGAGACTTTTTTTCTGGAGCCTATCTGTGATGGACTAGAGAAGATGGAGCCCTTGATTTATAGGCTGCTTTGCCTCGCTACCTTCCCCTAGAAACAATGTTAAGAAAATCGGTCGGTGGCCGGTCGATTGATCGAGTTTCTTCCCCTCTTATGGAATAGGGACGATGGTAGCGCTAAGCCAAGCTCTGGGTAAGATTCATGTTACCCACGATCTGTTTATGATTGACAATAGCTCTGTCCTAGCTATCGGACCAATATTTTTTATCATTTTCGTTGCAGATCTTCTCCGGACCTGTTGCCTTGACGGCGTTGCACTTGTCGATAGCGGTTTGCAACTCAGTCATAGTGAAAAGTGCGTTAAAGACTTTAGCATGTGGTACCCACCGTTGGGCCACGTTTCCATGCTTCCGGAGACAGTTAAGGTTCTGGCTATCTCTGGACTCCTTCTGCGTCCTATTAATCTTTGCAAAGTGCTTATTCAAAGCCTCGGCACTTTTGGCATCTGTGGTAGCCTTGCCTGTGGTAGCCTTGCCTGTGGTAGCCGTGCCTGTGGTAGCCGTGACTCTGGTAGCCGTGCCTGTGGTAGCCGTGCCTGTGGTAGCCGTGACTGTGGTAGCCGTGACTGTGGTAGCCGTGACTGTGGTAGCCGTGCCTGTGGTAGCCGTGCCTGTGGTAGCCGTGCCTGTGGTAGCCGTGACTGTGGTAGCCGTGGCTGTGGTAGCCGATAGCCGTGCCTGTGGTAGCCGTGCCTGTGGTAGCCGTGACTGTGGTAGCCGTGCCTGTGGTAGCCGTGACTGTGGTAGCCGTGACTGTGGTAGCCGTGCCTGTGGTAGCCGTGCCTGTGGTAGCCGTGACTGTGGTAGCCGTGCCTGTGGTAGCCGTGTCTGTGGTAGCCTTGCCTGTGGTAGCCGTGCCTGTGGTAGCCGTTACTGTGGTAGCCGTGCCTGTGGTAGCCGTGCCTGTGGTAGCCGTGCCTGTGGTCGCCGTGCCTGTGGTAGCCGTGCCTGTGGTAGCCGTGTCTGTGGTAGCCTTGCCTGTGGTAGCCGTGCCTGTGGTAGCCGTTACTGTGGTAGCCGTGCCTGTGGTAGCCGTGCCTGTGGTAGCCGTGCCTGTGGTAGCCGTGCCTGTGGTAGCCGTGACTGTGGTAGCCGTGCCTGTGGTAGCCGTGCCTGTGGTAGCCGTGACTGTGGTAGCCGTGCCTGTGGTAGGCGTGCATGTGGTAGCCGTGCCTGTGGTAGCCGTGCCTGTGGTAGCCGTGCCTGTGGTAGCCGTGCCTGTGGTAGGCGTGCCTGTAGTCGATTTTTTGTCAATAAAAATAATTCTGCCTGTTAACAAATCAATAATTCTATGTCCTAACAGATCACGAATTCTACCTCTTTACAAATTCTGTCTTATAATTTTAATTTCATGTTATGTACTTTATGTAACCCCCCACCTCGACAATTAAAAAAAAAATTAACAAATATAATTTTTAAAAAATAAATAAATAACTTTGACAGCCAAGTAACCAACCACCTCTTTCCTACTAAAGTACATATATCCTCCTAGATCATCTAAGCCGTGTTAGATTCACTCCAGTAGTTTTCAAATAACCCGGCTTTTTGCCGTGGCCAGAAATCGTAACACTATTAAGTGTACACCTTATAATGCCTGGGCCGAAATTTAAAACTAAACTTCAGGGCAAGGTTTAATATGGATTATATTTTTATAAAGAATAGGACGTGCCGGGTAGCCCAAAGGGTT